TTGTCTTTTCTCCCCTCTCTACCAGGAAGTTTAAAAATTAATCATGAGAGGCAACTTTACACCCTCATCAGCCTAGGGAGGCAGCAGAAGAATCTATGTAACAAACTTGACTCACTAGTCCTTAACTTCCATGAGTCCTCCTATGTATTTATCTCCCCCAAATTTGCTTCCCTAGAAATTTAAAAGTCCTCTCCTTTGTCTCTAAAAAGTTACTATTCCTTCCAGCAATCCCACTCCTGGGCATATATCCAGAGGGAACTTCAATTTGAAAAGACACATGTACCCCAATGTTCATAGGAGCACTATATACAATAGCCAAGACATGGAAACAACCTAAATGTCCATCAACAGATGACTGGATAAAGAAGTTGTGGTATATTTATATAATGGAATACTACTCAGCCATAAAAAATAATAAATAATGCCATTTGCAGCAACATGGATGGACCTGAAGACTGTCATTTTAAGTGAAGTAAGTCAGAAAAAGAAAGAAAAATACCATATGATATCATTAATATATGGAATCTAAAAAAAAAAGACAAATGAACTTATTTACAAAACAGAAACAGACTCACAGACATAGGAAACAAACTTATGTTTACCAGGGGATTTAGGGGGTGAGGAGGGATAAATTGAGGGCTTGAGATTTGCATATACTAACTACTATATATAGAATAGATAAATGACAAGTTTCTCCTGTATAGCACAGGGAACTATAGTCAATATTTTGTAGTCACTTACAATGAAGAAGAATATGAAAATGAATACATGTATATATATGTATGATTGAACTATTGTAAACCAAAAATTGACACAACATTGTAAACTGATTGTAGTTCAATAAAAACATATTATGTAAGCCCAAGTTCTAACCACCACTCTGAGTTACACATCGCGAAGTGCTCCCGTGCGTGTGGTATGTGTATGTTAATAATCTTCTGCTTGTTTTTCTCTTGTTAATCTGTCTTTTGTCAGTCTCATCTGCAGGATCTAAGACAGAGAGACTCCAGGCGGATAGAGAAAAAAAATACTTTCTTTTCTTTCCTGACACTAGCAAGCCCCATCTTCACGAGGTTGAGTGTTCCTCTTCCTTGTGTGCCCAGAATATCCCATACACATTTCATCAGTGCCGTTCAGAGTGTTTTATAATTACGTGCCTTTCTCCCTCACAGGAACATCATTTTCTTCTTATTATCCACAGTCGGTTTTCAGAGATATCTATTGAATTTGTGAGTGAACGTTAGGTAGAGGTATTTTTTTTTAGTGAGGTTCACTTCTTCACAGCTTTTTAAGAAAGAAATACTGCTCTGTTTTATGCATATCTTTAATATGAAAGCCACTTTCTAATACAGTTGAATAGCTTTTTCCTTCCTTGTTTTTTCATTTTCTTTACCTACCAAAATATCAGTGCATCAAAAAGCACAGTTGCAGAATGAAAGTTATATAATGTATAAAAAAGAGGCACAATCATTGCATCTTCCTGGTTTGCAAGGATAAGAGTTTACTTGTAGCATGTCCATATAACTCAAGTCTAGGTAAACAGGATACTGCACTGTCCAAGTGCCATTAAACAGCATCCCTCCTAAAGCTGGGGACGTGTTTACTCAGCATGTGGGGAGTCATCTGCTCATGTGATTAGCACACGGGTTTCATGAGGAAAATTAATGACAGTAATAAAACACTACTTCAAACATTGCTTATGTTAGAAGGGACTAGCCAACCAGGAAGAAACCATCCCCAGTCAGAGAGAACACAGAGGCAGTATGTGTGGAGCTCTGAACTGCATCTAGGGGTCATCCTAGATAAGATCTGGGGGGCCCCCCGACATTTTACACAAAATTTCAGACAGGTCCAAAGGTCCACAGCTTTCATATCTTGTGGGTAAGGCAAATGTGTGAGCTCTGTGACCCAGGAAGAACTCATAACCTGTGCTCACTGTTTCACTGATAAAATTACCCAACCTGTGTCTATTGCCTCACTCGTAAAATAAGAGGCTGGCCAGGCACTGGACCTCTAAGACATTGCAGCTCTAAATTCTTTATTTTTCTTACAACCAGTCTTCATGCAATGCATGACTTAAGAGCAGCAGACTGATTATTTACAATATGCCAGGTGCTGCATTAAACACTTCACATACTTTTCCCCATAGGATTTAATCTTCACAATAACCCAAAGGATCAGATGCCATTATTTTTTGTTATTATTTCATAATGTATTTATCATGATCGTGATCATCATCCCACACCTTGCTGGAGTAATTGACTAAGAATGTACACTAAACGTGGTATTCCAAAAATGCTCTAAGCATGGACCACGTGGATTTGATTCCAGTGCAGTGGGCTCCTGTTGTCCTGGGCACATATCACTTACAGACTCGGGAAGTCCTTGTCCAACTGGAGAGTCAATAAGGGAGGAAGAAGAGAGATGCTGGATGGGAAACTGAGACGTGGAAAGTTAGATATGAGAAGGGAGGTGGTCTTGACCTTTCCAAAGAGCTATGTGCCATTTTCCAAGAGCACTTTGATTGCTCGGGAACAACTGTGAGCTCACATTTCCCCAGCAGTTCCCAGTCCTTAGAGAAGAGACTGCAAAACAGCTGCCTCCACACCCTAGAGGTTTCACGGGCTTGTGTATCATTTAAAAAACCATTATTTAAAAACACTTAAAGAAGGTTTGCCAACTTTTTCCAGCTTAATGAGATATGATTGGCGTGCAGCACTGTGTAAGTTTAAGGTGCAGAGCATAATGATTTGACTTACAAACACTGGGGCCTGCCATTTTCAATCCACTGCCTCCCTCTAATTTTATACCTGGCCCACTTTTAGTTTTAACTCTGACCTCTGTAGCATTTGAGTGTATAACTCTGCTTTAAAGTCTCTCCTAGAAACATTGAAACATGAGTAAACTGATCTTCCTCAAACACTGGTCAAGCATAAATGACTGTCCATCCCTGCTGAACAAGAAGCAAATGGAAGAGTTCTATCAAAAAGCCACACCGATGTAGACTCCACACACACCTGAAGGTCAAGCTCGTTCCTCCTCTTGGAATTCAGCCACCAAAGCACTCTGGCCCTAATTGAACATATTCAGTGCCAGAAGCGTATATGGAGCTGGAAAGAGAGCCTGGAGCTATTTGCAGTGAATGCAGACCAAGAGGCTGGTATGACAAAAACGTTATTAACTGTCATCA